ACTATCAATTGTTTAGTTTATTTAATTTCAATATGGCGTCGGTTAGGAAATTTCTAACTTTTCTAATAAATAGCCCCTAAAAACCCGAACTTCATTCTTCATTAGGTAAGAGAAAATAACCAATAATTATTTTTTGTTTTCATAGTTGATTACATTCTAGGTGTGCAAGTTGAATTGTACTTCAAGAACTTTGGATTTTGGTTCTGTGGTTGTTTTGGTTAGTTAATGGTACCTTTATGAAATTGGAGCACCAAAAAAAAAAAGAAAACGCCGAACTCCCCCACTACAACATGCTGCCACTGCCAAACTATGGTTTTCGATGACATGACGGGGCATAAATACTACATTATTTAGGCAAAATTGTCCGTCGGTTATTATTAGTTGATAGATAATCAATATAAGTATGCATGTACCTTATTTTTTCAATAAAAAATGTTATTGGAAACTGATGTGCCTACTTAATTTTATAATTTTCAATTTTTGTTTTTTTTTTGGAAAAAGTTCTATCTGACTTCCAGAAAATAGAACGAAAATTGAAAATTATTGAATTAGGTAATTTTTAATCCATAATCCTAAAATTCTTTCACGTATTAAAGTCATACTAGAAACATATAGAGGATGTTTCTTACACCTGCCCCGGATGTATTAGGTACATCCCGCGTCATCTTAGAAACATCCCTGAGAGATGTTTATAGGACATCGCAAATGATGACACGGCTGTTGCCTGCAACATCCCAGGGATGTCCCCAGGAAAATAGGGACCTCCCAGGGACGTCTTCATTATCCCTGATGGATGTTTCTGGAATGTTTCTGCGATGTTACTGTGTTATTAGGGACTCGGAATTATTGAAGGATATCCTTTTTATTTAGAGTAAAAGGTAACGTTTATTAATGACCAAATACTTTTTGTGAAGGATATGCTCATACTCTATAAGTATAAGGTAAGGTTTTACTCGGAATATTATGAATGCGAGCTGAAGGATTTCCTTTATATTCTGCAAGTATAAGCATAACCTTTTTTTAAGAATACTGCTCATTCCCAGTGAATGAAGATCCAGAGAAAACCATAATTTGAATTATTACCGACTCTTGATTGCACTAGAGCAATTTTGCAATAAATCGAGAGCAGGTTATTTGGACTAAAGTCTGTTTTTTTTTTTAAAGATAATACCCCAGGTCAAAAATTTAGTAACTATTTTGGCAACGCAAGCCTTTTCCACGTAGAAAATTTGAAAGCATTGACAATTAACATTGTATTGCCAACATAATGTCATTTTGACTTTTATCTTTAAAAAAAAAATTAACACACTTTACTATGGTTATTGATTACTCCAGAGCAAGAGAACTGGTACTCTTGATTTTTCTAGAGTAATTTTCCAATGAATTCAGAGCACAGACATTTTCCCAGTAAATCAATAAGATCCAGAGAAAATCATAAATTGGATTATCACCGGCTCTTGATTGCCCTAGAGCAATTTTCTAATAAATCGAGAGCCGATAATTTGGACTATTATTGGTTGTTGATTGCTCCTAGAACAATTTTCTAGTGCATACCCAAGCAGCGCTTTTACGTCCTAACAAAGTGGTCATTGATGTCTTGACGTTAAGGCGCGACGTCAAATAGACGACTATACAACCCATATTTTCACCAAAATGGAGAATCATTTCAGGGTTGTAACGACGTCGCAGGTCGCGAGGCTTTACTAATTTTCAGCTTATACGTCAGCATACACAACCAGATTTGAACGTTTACTAAACGTCGTAAACGATGACTAACCTAAAAACAAATACCAAACCAAATAAAGGAGGTTCCAGGTTTAATATATTGCACCAAATTCGAAATTTTCCAACGAATCGAATGCGGGTAATGGTTCAAATTTTGAAGATTAAAGGCTTTGGATTAACTGGAAAAATGCTACAGTGACACCCAAGAGCTGATCATAATCAAAATATGGAATATTACTACCTCTTTGATTGCTACTCCTAGAGCAATTTTCCAGCGAATCGGAAGTCAGAGAATTTTCCAAACATTTTCCCAGTGAATCAAGATCCAGGAAAATCATAATTTGGATTATTACCGGCTCTTGATTACCACTAGAGCAATTTTCCAATGAATCGAGAGCCGGTAATTTGGTGTATTATTCTTGATTGCTCCTAGAGTAGAGCCATTTTCCAGTGAATGGAGAACTTGTAAAAGTCCCATTTTTTGAATTGAGTGCCAGTAATAGTTCTCTGGATTCACTTGAAAAATACTACAGTGACAGTCCTGATAGTAATCAAAATATGGACTATTACCGGCTCTTGATTGTTACTCTAGAGCAATCTTCATTTTTCAAACGAATTGAAACCAGAGAATCTAAACATTTTCCCAGTGAATCAAGATCCAATATAGAAAAATCATAATTTGGATTATCACTGCCTCTTGATTGCAACTATAGAGCAATTTTCCAATGAATCGAGAGCAGGTGATTTAGAGTATTATTGGTTCTTGATTGCTTTTAGAGCAATTTTCCAATGAATGGAGAACTTGTGAAAGTTCCAACTTTTGAAACTTTTCAGCGAATCGAGTTCCGGTAATAATTCGAATTTTGAATACTACTGGCTCTGTCCATCGTCCAACACTGCCTGTATTGATGTATATAAACGCCAGTTGATGCTGTAGACCGAAATTGACAAGTTTTGCAGTAATTCATTTGTCACATTGATAATTAAGACTTGTAAAGTGCGACAATTGTTTTCCAACTCACTATTGCACTCTATTAAAATTCGAATATCAGAGCTGTATTCTCGCGTTCACTTTTTTGAAACTGGTTCAAAACAGGTGTGAAATAGTAGGTCTGTTTCTGCAGAAATCACAAACCAGTCAGAGTGAATTTCATTGGTTCAAACTAGTTTTCTGACTGTTTTCAACCAATGAAATTTGCTCTGACTGGTTCATGATTTCTACAGAAACAGACCTATTATATTTTCGCGATAAACCCCTGACGTCACACAAAATTGGTTTAAACCGTTCCGAAATACAATCCAATCCATGTTTTTAAACCATTTTCTCGCGCCGAGAAGTGATGACGTCATTGGGAAACTGTTTTAAACCCAGTTTTGGAAAATTTTTCAAGACTTCGAGACGCGAGAAAATACCACGTCTCATTTTGGTGCCTGCAAGCTTCTTCATAATCTCTTACTACCTCATGTAGAAAGAGCCCTACTAAAAATACGGGCCCTCAAACTTCTTTTTGTGGTTTGAGGGCCCGTATTTTTCTTTGTAGCTGTCATGGGCCCCAATTATTAAATTTGTATGATTCTAGAATTAGTCTAGATGAAAATCAAATAAAAATGTTGTCAGTTTCATGATTTTTCAAAAAAGTTATTTCAGATCTGCAAATTGAAAATTTTCAAAAAAATAAAATAAAAAATCTTAGGGCCCAGGTCAAAATATCTGGGTGAAAAGCTGCTATGCTTACGGCCCCACCTATCTCAGATACGTATGTCTACTTATGTGCGGAACACCTTGTATGTCTAAACAAAAAGGTATATACCATAGAGGTATTACTACGAGAGCCCGTGACACAAAAGCCTCAGTCATCTGTTAGAAGGCCTTTTTTTGTTGGCCCGGTACGCCAAGTCCTCGGTCAACTAAAAAACATAATGGTTGGCGGGTTTCGGTGTGCAGAAGCTGAGAGGTGGATGAATTTTCACTACCCCAAAATAAGGGTTTCTGCCTTATGAGTCAGAAGCTTTTTTTTTGTTGTGAATGAATAATATTGGACCTACTGAGGCCTGAACAGGAACGGTTGGCGAGCCTTCCCCCTCTTTTCACCATGCCCACCGCGTTTTAAATAAGATTCTCAAGGGAAGTTCCTGCCTCATAAGTCAGAAAGACGAAAAAAATGGAAATTATACATTTCCGCTTTCTCGTCCGTTCTGAGCTGGGTTGGCAGCCGGTTGGCGCTCTATTGTTTATATAAACATATGTTCAGGCCTCAGTAGGTCCATATTATTTATTCACAACAAAAAAAAAAGCTTCTGACTCATAAGGTAGAAACCTTTATTTTGGGGTAGTGAAAATTATCCACCCCTCAGCTTCTGCACACCGAAACCCGCCAACCATTACGTTTTTTAGTTGAGCGAGGACTTCGCATAACCGGCCACCAAAAAACGGCCTTCTAACAGATGACTGAGGCTTTTGTGTCACGGGCTCTTAGACTATATATACTTATTACAAAAATTTATGCATGTAAGTACCTATTTAAAATTAAATATAAATTTATTTTTGGCCCAAACGGCGCCTCATACTTTTCGCTTAAAATATCAATATACAAAGACTAGCATTTATTACAAAGAGTTAGTTTGTTTTGAGCAGGATAAGGCAGGACCATAGCAATACAAGCAGGAACCTGTTTGAGCGATCCTGCTTCCAGTGTATTGCCAAGGCTGAAGTTAGCAATCAAAATAAAAATCGCTGTATTTCGAAAATAGTATGTGCTGGGGTCAGATTTGAAGCAGGATGAGGCAGAACCATAACAGCACAAGCAGGAACCTGTTTCAGCGATTCTGCTTCCAAGGGTGAAGTTAGAAATCAAAATGGAAATCGATATATTTATTTCGAAAACGATGGGTATTGCTGAGTTGAAGTTTAAAGCAGGACAAAGCAGTAATATAGCAGCACAAGCAGAGGTGCAAAATCCTGCTTTCAATGTGTTGCTAACTTCCCCAACGACTTGAGGAGTACCCTTTATGTTTGGAGTTTGTATATCTGAATTATTTTGCGAGTAATAGATAAAAGCTTTTCTATCTTTAGACATTTTTGTCAAACTTCAATCCTTAACAGAGTTACATTTATAAAAATAAATAATCTTCCCTGAATATTGGAGCTTTTTTTTCAACTAAAACATTCTAGGAATATGGATACATTTATAGAGGCAATTTGGAGAAATATTCCTAGAAATTCATAGACCAGATCCTTTATGATAATTGTTTCATGTGTTATAAAAAATTCTTACCTCTCCTGTGATAGATGGAAAAGCAATGTCATGTCGATAACTCGCCAACGGAAGCAGTTGGCAATTGGAAATAACGAAGGTCGCGCTTAGCCACAAGGAGAGCCTTGAAATACTGATCTGAAACAAAAATATTTGGACCAAATTATTCATCAATAATAATCTAATGATTGATTTAACACACACACATAAATTATTAGTTTCCTTGACAAGTAACAATTTATCTGACCAAAATATCAAAAAGTAAAGTGAAAAACGAAACTGTCTAAATATGGGTGAAGTAATTAAATTGAATTTTGTCTATAGCCGTGACCTGGGCCTAGCGGTTGCGAATTTGATCTCGTTATGTTTTCCCATATAAATTAGTTTCGTCTACCTACTTATACATGAAAAAATCAATAAATCAGTTTTTGGTACAAATAACACATTTTTTTTTTGTCTTATATGAATGAATTTTTACATAACCGTTAAGCTCCCATGATAATATATGTACCAAATTATTACAAAATAAATCCAAAATCGTGCAATTTCTCCTTTTACTTTCAAAGTCGACCATCAGAATTTCAAATTGTTGGGTTTCATGTCAAGAATTTTTATTGACGCATATGTGATTTTCCTTCCTCGTAGGTATTCCGATTTGATTTTTATGGTAGGTATTAGTATAGACCAATTATTATTACTTATTCAATATTATTAATGATTGTTTCTGCATAATTTAACCGAGTAAATAATGCAAAATGTCATGTAAAAATGGTAATAAAAAACTTATTATTGATAATCGACTGACAATTGTTCGTATTAGATGATTTTGCAATGTCATTTAGTAGTACTTACCTATAAATATTATGTAATTTAAAACAAAAACCCAAAACTTGTGTTTTTTTTTGGCAAGTAAAGCTCTCTATGAAATGGCAAAACATTATTATACTTGGATAGGATTCGGAGTTGGTAGGGTTATAGGGTATTTTTTGAATGAAAAACCAATTCCTCTTCAGCAACTAGCCATTATTAGTCAAGGGGACGAAATGCTAACAAATTATTATCCTATACAATACAGAGTATTTCGAAAAAGTTTTTTTGAATATTTCCAAGTTTGCTCAAACACCCTATATAGAATTGATACTTGGAAGTTTAATAGAGAATTTAATCAAAGGCACTTTATTATATTTATATAAGGAAGAAAATTATTGCGTTAATTATCCCAAAAGATTATTTCTATATATGGAGGGGTAAACCATTGCTCACTCAATAAATCCTGAAAGTTTGAAGTCCATCTGATTGCTTGAAGTATTTTTCAGAAGCTTCCAAAGGTGATTTAATAGAAAATTTGTAGGATTTTCTTGCAGGTGAGGTAGGTAGGTACTTATTTTGGATATAAAATTTGTCAAAACTTTGAAAAATATTTCCAATTCTATCGTAGATAGAAACTTGAAATTTTCAGGGAATCTCATTCTACTGGAGGACTACAAGCAGCTCATTTGGAGCTGCTGCTCTTTTTTCATAAATTTCGGCTTTAAATCTCACAAGTACCTTGATCTTCAAATTTCATTTTCAATAGTGTTGTTCCAAAAATTTGTTATTAAATATTAATATAATTTCAGTTAAAATATTTAAATATTTAATCAATTACATAGTACCTACTAATTATAATCAATATCATGCGAAAGGCCGTAGATTTATAATCATTGAACTCAATTATTCATTCTTGCAAAACACTTTTGTGCAAATCAAAATTCAAAAAATTAAAACTAACCATTTTTTTTTCTTCTAGGTAGCACACGCACTATTAACTTATCACTAAAAGTTTATGGTAGTACCGCACGTTAAAAACAAATAGACGTACACGCGCCAAATCGAACAGTTCCTTCTTTTACCCCTTCTATTTTTCTGATTACAGCAGGAATCCCTTTCAGATTTTTCAATTTCAAGTTCAATGATTAATGAGTGGGTTTACCTTACCTTCATTTTACGTTTGATGACGTTGTGTACCATTATGATTCAAAGTGTCAGGATAATTATATCATTTAGGCTCTAATTCATTGTAATTAACTTACTAATGTATACCTATGATAAAAGATCAAGGATTAGAGGTATGAGGCATGCACCTACTTTATGAAAAAGACCAATAATAATTATTGGTAGGTACTATTTTTTAGGCGAATATTATAAGAAAAGGTCTTTTTACCAACACTAACCAAACAAATCCAGTCAGATAAATGACGTGATATTTATCACGGTAATGTTTTACCATTCAAATTGGAGCAATTATTGTTGAAGTGATTGGTTTAGTTCCCACAAGTTGACCAATCACTTTTTTGATTTGCATAAATACATCTTTGAATTGTTTCGTTTGTTATGCTTGTTGCAAAATGTTGGTTTTTGAACATTATATTTGTTGAAAGAATTTTTATATAGCGATTATTGCAGATGGGCATTTTTTCCATTGTCTTTGTTCATCCTGAAATATGTAGGTACCAATGAACAATATTGAGCATTTGGATTTAGGTTCGTGTGTCATTGATATTATACGGAAAGAATATTTTTGAGCAGTTTCTGGCAACATGTTAGCAGATTTTCTGGCAAAACAAGGAGCTGCGTCCTACAAAACTTCTTCAAGGGCCAGAGGAAAGAACTGAAAAAATTATGGTAAACGGACTAACTCATTGCAGATGGTGCATATATCCATTTTAGTATAAAGAGAAAAGACATAAGTGTTAGCTCACTATGATAATTGCCTAGTGAAATATCACCTCAAAACGATAGACAAAGCAAAAAAAGTCTTTAATTTGACTTCTTCTCAGATCATTCCTATCTTTGACTTCATTTTCTCGGACCGTCGAACGAATGTTCTAGAGAATAATAAGCTGACAATCCTGTCAATCTCTTTTCGTGTTTTTTCCTTGTTTTTGCAAATTGGCTGTTCTAGTTCTGTTCTCCCTTGTCCAGTTTTTTTTTTGATATTGAGATTTGACTGTTTGTTCACGAAAATTTGCGTTAGGTTTTCAAAAGTTTAGAGAGCAGCGGGACTGTAGGCGCTTAATTCAATTTTGCCGCACAAATATTAATGGACATAAACCCGAGCCATACAAAGACAATGGAGGATTGGGACTTACTTTGTTTATGCTGGTTTTCGTCGATGCAGAGGAGCTCCTCGTATCCAGAACATCTGCTTCTTAGCGACACACCAATACAACACAGTCTTAAAAATAATAATGAGGAATTTCTGCCTTGAATTTGACAGGTTTTGGGATTTTTGATAACGACCGAAAAAGAGGAGGTGGTTTTTGAGACACGGCTTCGTACTGCTTCCTGTTTCCTTCTCATAAATCACATATTTTTCATACGCCGCGTCTGCGCGAACGGTGCCAATTTTGATTTGAACTTGTATGGCATTTAACGTTTTTTTTCTTTCATATAATTTTGGAATGAATATAAAAAATAACGAAGTTGCATGAACACTGTTTTTGGACTATTTAACTTAATAAATGTAATTAACTAAAAATTTGAAAGAAGAATTGGTACTTTTGGCCAATTACAACTCGAGAAGATATGGCAGAATATTAAGGTTGATGAAAAAGGAAGGCTACATGGTCCAAGTAATTTTATTTTTTTGAAGGTCCTAACTAACAATGGATCGATTAAAAAATTATATATATATATATATATATATCTGTTATACCTTTATACCAATGAAGCACTGTATAAGAAGTACCTACATTAAAAAATAATGATAATGGTTTCCACAAGTAATTTTGGCAATTTTTACCGCCAGTATAATAAGCATATTCTCAAAATCAGGATTATTCGAGGATTTTCATCAAATTGTAGGTCCACCTGGGTTCTTATTCTTGAAACAGAGGGGAGTAGCGTTCCTGGGAGAACGAGTGTTCCGTCTTTGTTGCTTATATTATCAGTTGCATTACATTGAGAAAGACGGAACACTCGTTCTCCTGAGAACACTGCTCCCCTGTTTCAAGAATAAGGACCCTAATCCATAGAAAATTTCCTTTTTTCCACAGTAGGAAAACTATGGGAAAAATATCAATTCCAGCAAATCAGCAAATGAAAGGATTTCTTTATTTCGATATGATGATGATCCATGATTCATCACTGAAAAAGTCTAATAGAAGAACAAATTTTATATAAAGAAAGGGTTCCGGGTAATGTAAATAAACTCCGACAATACAATACCTTTGTCTAATTTTATCGGCAGTCGACTATTTACCCTCGCGGAAGAATAAAGTGTCAAAAAAATAATTAAACATTTTAGTGAAAAATGAATTTTCCAATAATTGATGATTAAATTTCGTAAGTAGGTACCAACAACTATTTATCAATTCTTGAATGATAAACCCTTAATTTTTTCTGATAAATTTTCAAACATCGATAAAGCCAGGTTGACAGGATCCAAAGTGTATGTGAATCGTATCTGTTTATCCAAGTCTATTTTGGATAAGTCATAACCAATGACATGGCTGCCAATTTACTTTGGTCCAAGTTCACTTGGACCGTGTCAACCTGGCTTGAGTAGGCTGGCTGCCAACTTATTTTGGTCCAAGTTCTCATCCAAAGTGCACTCGGAGCGTGTTAACCTGGCTTAAATTCTAGTGGTTAGCAAATTGAAACTTGCACCAATTTTTACTTTACATAATATTTTAGAGAAAAACATCGCCGCCACATGTTGTAAACCGGCTGTTTTACTGCGGATATCAAAGCACTTATTAAAATGTTAAAATTCATTATCAAACAAGAATAAAAATTCTAGAAAGGCGCCCTAGAATTTTTATCCTATTTGAAAATAATCGGTATGGAGAAGCTCTTCATACATTGAAATAAACAAAGGTCCTGATTCGCTTTATGTTTCTAGAGAATCAGTGCAAATATGTTTTTTTTTGTATGTCTATAGTTTAGGCTAATATCTTTATCATTATTCAGCGTCCTGGATCCCCTGCTGAACATAGCGAGCTCCTCAAATTGTTTCTAGGTGTCCATTTTCTATTCTAGCAAATCCAGTTTGTCATGATTCTTTTCGTGTAGGTCATCATATATTTCATCATAAGGTTCGCAGTTTTCTGAACATGTCCGGCCGATTTCATCAGCTGGTTTTTGCTCTGGATACAGCACAAATGACCACTTTCAATGCCTGAACTCTTGGTTGGTTTTCACAGACAATTCAGATCAACAGAGGTTTCATATGGATCATCAGATGCTTGTGTAACTAAAAAGGTATTGTCTTAGTTCAATACTTAAATTTTAGTACTAAAAAGCTATCAGCTAATCCAAGAGAAAATTCAAATTTTTGACAGACTTTTTCATGAGCCATGATCCTAACTGCCCTTCAGGCACTCCACAGCAGGTCATAGAAAACTCCAACATGATGCTTTTATCAACCTTCCAGAGGAATTACATTCTGTTTTTTTTTTCAGGTGTGACAGGTACAGGAACCAAAACTTTGGTAAGCTACTCCTGGTTGGGTAAGTCTGGCATTGGACTTTGAGCATTTGGCTTTAATGTTGTCAATAACTTTCTCTTCACAAATGATTACTATTTTTCACTAATCGAAATTGCGTTTCACTGATATCCAGGACAACAATTCATGGTTTGATTATTTCTTTTTGGTATTTGGTGTCCCCTGGGGAGGCCGTCCGCCATAATAGGTTAGGATCCCATTTGTTACACTGAATATACTATATAAGGTAAGTGTAGCAGTGGGGCACTACCGAATGCCGGCGAGAAATGGTTGAATTATGATTTGCTGTTGGATGTCAGGCTGCACAATGTGGTTTTAAGTGAATTCAGCCTATACTGGGCCATATAAGAATAGCTGAATGCTCAACAACTTTTTCAGGCAAAATTGTTTTTGTGTTTTCCAGATGAAGATACAAGTGATCAGGTTCTATATTGTAGCGGAAATATTCCTGTTTGAAGAAGATTATTTCAGAAGAGGAAGATTTGTCTAGTTTAGGTTGGAATTATCATCATCACACAGCGTCCTGGCTCCACTACTGAAGATAGGACTCCTCAAGTTTTATTTCCAGGTCTTCTTTTTCTAGACAGCTGCAATCTAGTTTGTCTTGATTCCATAGGTAGGAATTCTTCGCAGTTTTCTGGGACGTCAACATCAATATGGCAAGCCAATTTATAAGTTGGCCTCTGCTCTGGAAAAGACACAAATGACCACCCTTAACCCTTGATTGGTATTAACAGAGAATTAAAATCAAAAGAGGTTTGTTTCATGGATCAAAAGTTGGTGTGTCTAAAAAGGTATACTAATTTTCTTACTTCAACACTAAATCTTTACATACCTACTAAAAAGGTTATCCATCCGATAAATTCAATTTTCATGGGTATTTAGAAAGTTATTTGGTAACTTCTGCTTTAGGTGTTTACTATTTTTAACCTGTGAAGTTCTTTGATTAAAAAATCCAAGAAAAAGAAAAAATTAAAATTTTTGATAGTCTTTTCAGGAGCTACGATCTCCAACTGCCCCTCAGGCACGCCACCAGGTCCTAGAAAAGTCCGTGCATGCTTTTATCAACCTTCATCCAGAGGAATTACCTACATTCTGGTTTTTCTCTTACAGAAACCAGAACTTTGGTACCTAAGCTACTTCTGGTTCGGTAAATGTGGTGCCTAATGAACTTTGAGCATTTGGCTGTAAACTGTTTTCAATAACTGTCTCTTTGAATGATTACTATTTTCCACTTATCGAAATTGCGTTTCACTGATATCCAGGACAACAATTATTCATGGTTTGATTATTTCTTTTTGGTATTTGGTGTCCCCTGGGGAGGCCGTCCGCCATAATAGGTTAGGATCCCATTTGTTACACTGAATATACTATATAAGGTAAGTGTAG